ATGAGTTACAGTGCTATTAGCTGTGAGTTCAGTGGTAATGAATCAAGTATATATGAAATAAAAACACACAAAAAATAAGGTAATGTATTGATCAGTTGGCAAAAATGTTGTGACCAGAAGCTCACAGGAACCTAATCCTGTTTTTCCCCTAGGAGCAATGGTTCAGTATTTACTAATTCAGCATTAGTCATGACTTTGTAGAACATAGCTACTGTGAATAACAAGAACTGATTGTATATTACTTCTTAAGTAAAAACTGAGTTTACAGAAATGTTACGTGCTGTGGGCAATTTTCCATCTTGTCATCTGGTTTGCTTAAAATGGATGTTGAGTCTTTAAAATTAAATTTGTGGCTAACTGTTACAAAATAAAATTTAGCATGTAGCTTAAAATAGAATTCATCTTCTTTATTTTTCTTCAGAAATGATAATATTTCTTACCTGTTATAGCACTTAACTGCCTTCTGCTAGTGCAAGGAAGATTTTTGTGCTGAAATAATATACAGAATTTATAAATTGAACTGTAAGAATTTTCTCTTTTTAATTCATATGTATTTTGCTACTCCAGAATATTTCGAAAAGGAGAAATGAGATAAAATTTTAAAATGAGAAGGCATAGGGTAAGCGAAACAAAGGAAAAGTAAGATTACAAAAGATAAGGTGAAGTTAACACATATGCTGTTTGCCTTACAGTCTTCTACTTTTAATGGAGTTAAGCATTGTAGGAACCAATACAAAGTGGAAGAAAAGATAAGTTAAAAGATGTAGTGTCCATAAAACAAACCACCTACTCAGATAATATATAATTATTACTGATACAGATTATCAGAAAGTTATGTATTATAAATTCAAAAAGGACGTAGCCTTCTGAATAGGAGGTTAATCAGGTGGTTTTATACATTACCCTCAAAACAGTGCTAAAGTACAGCACCAGAATACAGTTTAATAAAATAAATGGCTGATATGATCCAAATGTACAGTTCTCTCTGGTCCTTGGTTTACTCCAGGGAAAGAATTAGACTGCATAGCAAAAGTTCTTGATTTGGGGTAAGCACCACTGTTTTCTCTAAAGGTTTATCAGCAAACCAAACCACAAAAAATATTCCTAATCTTGTGCCTTGATATTCTGATACAGTTTATATAATCTTAATCTATTGTCATTGAGTGACAGTGATTACTATTACTATTACTATTACTATTACATTGAGTGACAGTGATTACTATTACTATTACTATTACTATTACTATTAGTATTTTTATGTGCTAACCACTATGATATGTGCTTTGAATTTATTACAGACTCATTTAAATAGCTAAGAGGTACCTGTGTGTGGCAGATGCTTCATTTGGGTTTTTTACACTAAATATTATCATATAAAAATCATGTGGTGATTCAGGTGGGTAAGACAACCTAAAAGGACAATTCAGACACTCATTTCATCTACTGATTTTTTTTCCTCTGATTGTTAAACATACAGTTCAATTATTAAAAGTTCCAGTTGCCATTGTGAAAGAGTTTATATTTGTTATTATTTGGTTATTTTTTAAAATTGCTTAATGGCAGAAATTTTTTCTGTACTGTTTAGTAAAATTTTTTTCTATGATAAGACATGCATGTTGAAAAAATACAGTATCTTAATCTTTTGATAGTAGATTTGGGGAAACATGATTTTCTGTATCATGTTTCATCAATTTTTCTGTATTTTTACAGTTGCAGATGGATTTTTAAATAATAGACTAGTATATGTATGGAATTTTATAATACTGTATGCATTAATGATTAACTTGATTTTTTTTTTCTATTATAGACTCCACTTTTTGCAAAGATCAACTTTGTCTCAGAATTAACAAACTCTTCATCTAAGATTGGTTCCGGTGTGTCCTATGTTTACATGTCAGTGGGAGTTAAGCACAGCTCATACAAGCTGAAAAGTCTAATAAGGAAATGAATTCCTTCTCTCAAGTTATAATTTTACTTGTAAGTTAAACTCAGAGTGAATTTAAAATGGCTAAAGTGTTTAATTACAGAACAGAGTTTAAGTAACATAGA